TTTGGTCTTAATACAAAAAGATACACTTATAAAGTCAAAAAGCATGAATTTAAATGAATTAGTATAGAAAATCCAAGAATTAAGAAAAAAAATGTATTAAATATAGAAATATAATTTTTCTTAGTAATTGTCCTATAAACCTCTAATGAGCTTATAAATTCTCACTTCTATTGTTACCTTGTTGTTAATTTGGCTATTGGTAATAAGTGGTGATCAATTAATTAATTACAGAAGATATTGCATTATAAGTTGTATTATTGCATGGAAGGCATGGTAAAAAATTTAGTGCATATAGAGTAGATTTTTTGATTGAATGTACCTAAGTAATGCACAAAATTGATCACAATATAGGACTAGCAATCAAATGGATTAAGTAAGAAAGAATCACAATTCTAAAATATTTTATCAAAATTTGGCTTATAAATAGAAATTCATAGCATGCCATAATTAGATCTTTGTCTTCAATTTATTTAGACATAATGTGCTACAATTGAGTATGATTGACTATGCTAATATTATATTATATAAATTCTTTCTTGAAAATGCATCGAGCACCTAATTGTGGAAGATAAATAGAAAATTGTAACAACAAGGTCCTAAAAAGTCTAATAAAGTTTCAACTAAAACTTAATAATCCTAAACAGATCCTAATCAAATTCAAAAGAATTTTGAAAGAAATTACAAAAGAAACATAAAAAAATCATAAATCAACTCATACAATGGAAGCTCTGAGATCACTAATAAGAAGTGTCAATCAGACATGCAATGAACTGTACATCTTTTTATCCAACAACGAAGACAATCCTAGTGTTGCTATTTGATCAACTTCAAGATCAATTGTGCCAAAGCTCAAATTGAGACTCGATTCCACATTATTTCAAATCCTAAATTCTTCTCAGATATCTCACCAATTCTATTATCTACTTCAACCAGATTCTAAGAGGCTGACTATACCATCGACATGTTCAAACAATCAAACTTTATCAAAGAAACACTCAATTATCAGGGTTGGCAATATTTGATAGCTCCTACAAAAAGATTTGTGCACAACAGACACCTATGCAGATTTGACATAGAAGGGAGCAAAAAAGATTATTAAGAAAAGCTATGTGGTCTAATTCAATTGCAGCAAATTTAAATTCTCTTGGTGCAGTTGAAAATCCATTTATAGTTAACAATGAAAGATTTTAAAAGATATTTTGTTTTTATGGGAGGAAGCCTATTTTAGTACAATTGTCCCTTTTTATACTCAAAAATCTACAATGACATATTTTCTAAGGAGAAAATATATGGCTTGCTCTTTTATTCTTTAAAAAGGATTCTTTCAATAATCTTCTATTGTATTCTTCATTAGAGTAGTAGTTGTAGTAGCAATAATCATTTTTTGTATTGTAGTTAATAAGTTGGCTTACTTTTCAAAAAACTTATATATATATATATATATATATATATATATTCATACAATAATAATAACAATTGTTTAAATCAAATATTTTTCAAACTCCATATCATGATCAGCACATTACATGAATTTGAAGTCATACTACCCAATATTAAAGTGGTGGATATTATCACTAGAAAAAAATTGTTGAAATGCAAATTGAAAGTAAAAAGTGAATATTGCCAAATCTTATGTCAGATTTTGTAAGAATCTTATGCCAAATCTTATGCCAATTTTCCAAATATTCTCTTTTTTTCTTATAATTTCATTAATGATATCAAATATTTTAATCTTTGCCTTTACATAATGTTCTAGAAAAATATTTTTAATAATAAAGTTACTTGAAGCAATTTCAAAATCTTATGCTTAAATTATTCTTAAAATATAATAAGTTGTTTTTGACTTCGACTACCTCATATCTCCTTTACTTTGACCATTGTCAATTTGAAAACTTATCTAATTTTTTAGTAGTATCAAAGTCATGGTCAATGTTATTTGATATAAAATACATACATTTAATATTGTACCCTCAAAAATAAATTAATAAGATTTAATGCTTCATATTCACATCTAGGCATACAAACCCACATAATCTATTTTTTCTTTTCTTTTCACAATGAGATACTACTTCTAATGTCAGAGTTCTTTACTTTTTCAAATTTCTTTAAAAAAAAAAAAAAAAAAAAGATGTATGTTTTTATGAAACACATGACACACATGAGCAGATGTTCAATGTTGTTTCAATCCAACCCACTACCTATTGCATAATCTAAGAAAGAAAATAAATAAAATAATGAGTAATAGGCTAAAAATTGAGTCCAGAAGAAGATAAAGTAAATAAAATAAAATAAAATAAAAACACATACCCTACATATTTTTTTGACTTGATGAATTTTTTTTAATTAATGTGTAAACAATTAAGCATATTCGATGATGGGCTCACATTTGGAATAGATGCCAAATAAACTTTGTGGCTAAAGAGACCCTTCTAGAATCAATGAGACAACATATTATTTTATATTTTTTAAATTAATGTATTACACTTCAAGCCAGAGAAAACGTTATAGAAAAATAAAAAACAAAAAACAAAACAAAACAAAACAAAAAATAATTTAAACATTCTCAAAAATCAATCAAATATAAATATTCTAGAATACTTTTTTAATAGTTATTTCTTTGCATGTGTATTAATAAATAGAGCTAACCATTTAGTGATGTTCAATAAATCAACAATAAAGAATTTCTCTACACTAAATACTAGTAAACTATTACTAACATTAAATCAAAATACAAAACAAGTGTGTAACTATTACAAAGCTCTTATAAAACTTTGTCTAACTTACAAAGCAAGTTAACAATATATGCACCATGTGGCCAACTTGTTGGCCAAGTTTTCAATCTACCAATCACTAATAGATATGTATAAAGTCAAATCCATGTCTATAAAGCTTCTCTACAAGATTTTATCAAATTTACTCATTTTTACTTACTTCTACATAGCTTATCTTATTTAAATAATTAATAGTATAGATTATGTTTTTGACATAATATTGCTTTTAAATCTTTGTAAATATAAGACATTTATAATTTTTATTCATTATTTAAATTGCCTTCAATCATATAAATCTAATGTTTTTAAAATATTGACTAAGCAAAATTAATTTCATTGTACGATGATTTTTTTTATCACATGTTTTATTTCTATAACACATTAAAACAATTGTAGGTTATTTCTTACAATTCTAAGATGTTCAATCTATTTGAACAAAGATATTACACCTAACACTAGATCTTTAATAATTTGTATTTGCAGCCTAATCTTCATAAAAAAAATGGTATCTAAAAAACAGAAATTAATATCATTATTACTTATATAGAATTAAAGTCCAACAAGTTTTAAGTACTTCATGATTCTTGACATTGTTGTCCAATACATAGAACCAACCTTTTAAAAACATGGATTCATAATAATTATTGCAAATACAAGTTCAAATTATATAGGTACTATTGCATACATAAGTACTTTTATCACTATTTTTATAAAAACACCTTATATTTTGTCTTCACCTTTAACAAATTGTTTTTCTAAAAGTTTCACGACTTTCAAATCTTTGAGTAGAGTTCCAAAAGATTTTTACACTTCTATATGGAAGTGTTTTAGCATCTTTTCAATGTGCTACTCCAAAATAGTTGTGACAGAGTCATTAGCATAAATTCAATTTCAAAACAATATTTATCTTTCTAAATAAATTGTCTCATAGTTCTAAAATTTAGTCTCTGTACAATCCATCTGCTCTATGATGTATGCCGAAACAGTAGATTTTTCAAAGATGGAAAATTACAAACTAGATCTCTGATTATTACACACATAAACAATTAATATCCTTTCTTATAGAGAATCTTCATTCATAATAATAAAAAAAATGTGTCAAATTGTTGTTATTTGCACTTTGTGATTATTTGAAGCCATGCATGGATTCTCTGAGGTAACAAACAAGGTTCTCATTGACTTGTTGCTGAAATATACGAGTATGGTCTCTAAGCTACTTCTATAATTCGTTTCCAAGAAAATTGTCTTCACTTCCATGTATTAACATGGCAATGACATGTGGCAATTGATGTTGCAACAGTGTCTGTTAATGCGTACAAAATGTATACGATGAATGAAATGTCTGGGGCATGTCTTGATAGTTCATCGCATACGTCGTTTTTATACAGATGAACAACAGATTAGAGAGTATATTGGATTGTGTTTCTATAATAAATTTCAAAACGCATCAGCACTCAAACGCAGTGAATTGTCACTCACCTCTACAACACGCAGTTGAGCTCGAAAGCGTACACATTTCGTACTTGTGACACGATAAAAGATTTGAGGGAGATGTTTTTGTAGTGAAACTCACTTCTTGAATCATCATGCAATTATATCGATCGCTTGCTTTCAGTCTGAATTGACGAACTGTCTCGACCCAGTCGTCTTTAGAATCATGCATCATACAGAGTCTTACGTTATCGTGAGAATTTAGAAATCAGAATTTAGAAGCAGCTTACTGTTGATAACAGACTGTTGCGGAAGTGTGCCGACCGAGGAATTAAGTATCTGACTAATGCCAAAAAAACTCCTCTCGGTTTGCTCACATTTTTCCAAGTTGATCCCAGATTACAAAGCAATTGACGCAAATGAACGAGAATATCTAAAAAAAGTTCAGAACGAGAGATGGTACAGCTAACATGGATCCAACGTACCAGGACGCACGTGAAACTGACAAACCTCCGCTCTTGCAGGACTCAGTTGGAACACGCAGAGAGGCAGCAATGGTGATCAAAAGAAAAAATACTTTTTTAAAAAAAAGCTATCAAAATTACAAACTTAAAAAAAGTTATCAAATTACAAGATGCAAGTTTCGACTAGTTGATAGATCCAGCAATTAAACATGATGGAGTACCAATAAAACCTGTTCGTTACCAATATCAGTGTACAGCAAGAATCATTACATACCTACACAAAAAAAAGTTTGAATACTAAAATTCCACCGCACAAGCACAACGTACACAGTACTTCAAAATAGTTAAGGCCACAAAACCGCAAACTGCTTTATGTAAAGAGTTTTACAGGCACACAGAGACCTCCGAAACACTAGTAATAACCCTCGAAAAAAAACCTCCGTCGTCCATTTAGCGGTACTGAATCACAGAAAGAAAACGAGAGCTTCAGTCAACAAAGTGAACAAATCGCAACAGAAAAGAAGAAAAGGAAAACAGCGCAAAAAAAATGACTGTCATGCTACGTACGATACTTATAACAGTAACTGATTGCCATAGATAGCTAGTTGAAATAATACCTTCACAAAGCCAATATCCTTGGAGTAGATGCGAAAGCACTGACGGCAAGTGTTGATGCCGTACTTTCGGATCATTCCGCATGAGTTTCCGCAAACCCGACTGCTCGACAAATAAATAAATAAACTTATTCGTTTCAGAAACTATTGTAGTGACAATCGAAAGAAAAAATACTCTCCAAATAAGAAGAATACAACTCGAACATCCCACTCATTTATGTTAAACATCGACAAACCATCCGGTGCGTTGAAGACAAATTCAGACTAACATCGAGAAAAAAATCCACGACAGCGAAAGCCACACACATCACTCCATCTTGCCCATACCCGCAAAGTTTCCTAAGTCAAGCTATGGACATACTAATAGACATTCCAGCATCCTTGAACATCGGACCAACCAAAATACCTAAATTGAGCTTTACAACAGAGTAAGGCAGCGGTAAGGACTAGTAGCAGTAGACCACCACAACGAAACGAAAACATCACATGCCCGCGAGCCAACTATCAAGATCCAATCCATTTCTCCCTCAGAATATGTCACAACACAAAACCCTAGCCCATGCCATTCAAGACTGGACCCCAACGGCCAAAGAAACGAACCGCAATAAAAAGAAAAGGCGAGTGAAGGCGAGTGAGGATGAGTAATACCAGGTGCGGGAGCCTGGACCGTAGCCCTTAGGGTGAGAATTCCAGACAGCCTCGTGACCCATGCTGGGCAGACAAGGCGGTAGCAAACGGCGAGGCGAAGGCAAAGCAGGTCGCGAGTGAATATCAAAGGCGAAAGAGAAAGGGATGGGGCGGGGTTCCGCTTCTTAAAAGACTCGTCCCAGCGTGCGACCTGGATGTTAGGGCTAAGAATTTGATGCCCTGACCTGGTGTGTTACCCTGTGTCTCCTGGTCTGTACCCAGAGCATAGGCGGGTACATGCAACTTGCGCACCTGTGTCGGTTCTCGATTCCGTCTATCACACTATTTAGCACTAATACACTTACAAATTAATCTCATTCCTTATCACGGTCTGATTTTAGAAAGACCGCTTCATTCTGGTTTTATTCAGAAGGTTGTGAAATGGTTTGAAATAATCTTATAAGAAATAATATGTACTTTCATTTTGTCTAATCTACAAGGAAATGAACATATGTTTTCATAAATTATTTCATATCTTGAAATGAAATGAAATAAAGAGTTAGTTTGTGTCTTTACAGGTCAAGGAATGTCATCTTATCGCATGTCTTTATAAAAAAAGTCAAGAGTTCCAACCAATCATTTAGAGTCATTCTAGCCCTTTTTGTATCATAGACAATTCTTGAATAAATATAACCAATGTGCCCCTTCCCAAAAACTCTACATGATGTCACATGTTGTATACTTATGAAATGTCTGAAAGAAATTCCAAAGGAATACAAAACAAAATGGACTAAAACCAAAGGCTTACATTTTTAGTGATGATTACTGTTAAAGTTCAATGGCAATTTTATTTCTGAAATAGTCACTATTACATTAAAGTCATTGTGTAAAGTTACTGGATGACTACAAGTATTAAATGGTAGGAAGATAACACTAATAAGTACCACTAAATAACAAAATTACAAACTTTATTAATTTTGAACACGTATAAAATTTTGCACCCAACAGAACAGAAACATGTAAGTGATACATTACAATTAGATTAATTACATTCAATGTCAAATAATAAATTGTAGGTATTGGTCGGGAGTTAATTCTAATGTATGTCCTGCATGTGCACACTTGGACGTATGTTGTAAACTACGGCATTACCATGAGACTCATCATTGAAGTGGGTACTCATTTAAAAATTTGAATTTTATTTATATTTACAAAAATATTGCAATAACAACAAAAGTAAACTTAAAGGAAGAAAGATACGATTTACGTACACTGGAGATCCACACACTCAGCTTGAAGAAGCATAGTTTAATAGAAGCTTCAATGAAAATGTATGGAAAAAATAATCTACATTACAGAGTTTGAAAACCAACCAGTGCCACAAAAATCGGCCTTCGAAGCAGAGAAATGTAGCATGTTAAAAACATGCTGCAGATTAGCTGATGAGAACCAGCACTGCAGCAGTGAAGTTCGTATCTATATTTAAGAAAGGAATGACTCGTAGGCCGATCATGCACTTAAATTGCAAGGAGCGATGAAAAACAATCTGCTAGTCAGTGCCAATCAATCTGTTCCACCCCGAAAACCAGCTACCCATATTGTTTGCTAGATCTGCGTAGAAGTTGCCGTTTGTCCCCTGCCCTTGCAAACTGACGCAGAAGCTCTTCACTCTATTCCTCGACGATGGCAGTGTAAGCACTGGAGGAGCGATCACACCGCAGAAACTGTATCAATTAGCCTCCGTTCCCCCGGGAATCGAGGTGAGGAGCAGAGGATAGATGAGAAATGCAGAGATACATACGAAGATCCGTGCACTTTCACCATCTCTAATGCCCGAAAGATTGGTGCTCGAAACAAAGTGACTCTAACACGACAACCACATTTTAAGTATATTACAGAAATTACTTCTTCCGCTGAACTTTGTCCTTGATCCAACGTAGACTAGTTGAAGTGCCCAACATCACTTTTTGAGCGCTCACGGAAGCTGCGCTCTTTGTCCTTTCTACACTATTAGTTGCTGCGGCCTTCACCTTCGCCATCTTGCTACTCTTTCGCCTGCCCTGGCTACCCTTGGCATCCTCATCGAAGTTCTTATCCCATTGATCTGCCCAACCGTTCGAATCCTGTCTTTCATACGTAGTCATATTCGTAGAATGTATGCACGAGAATGGACCTCAAGCGGACGGAACCGTGCACAAATCAACAGCGGGTGAAGACAGCGAGCTCAATCTGCCAACGAAAAAAAGAGCACAATGTACATACAAGACTTATTAAATGGAACGAAAAGTTCGAAGCGCTTCAATAAAACATTCGCACAAATTCTCCATTGCTTTCAAACCCCCTCATATCTGCTGGAAACTAACGAAGAAACATCACTGCAATGCAGATAGTTTCTAAAGCAGTGTGGCATTTTCATTGATCTACACCCGAAGAGCGAAAGAATTGGAGCGAAGAGAGAAACCGCACCAGAGCGTGTACATTTCTACACAAGTCGAGAAAGAGGGAAAGAATTTCGATCACAGATCTGCTCTATAAATACATGCGCAGAGTAACCACTCCAATAAACGCAAATCACAAGCCCCAAGCAAAAACCGCAGCAAGTTCCAAAAGCTAACACGAAAACTTTTTAGAAAAGCTCTCCGATATGCCACATATCGATTTACCCGAGGACGCAACGCCAAATTACAATGATCTCGCCCAGACTACTCGAAATCCTGCACAAGCGGAAACCTCGCACACGCGGCAGATCGCCACCCCCTGGTCACAGCAAGGAACGTACCTGGTAGCGTGGAAACGAGATCCTTCGCGGACGAGGTGGCATGCAAGAAGCGAGAGCGAAACAGATCGCAGCTAAAGAGGAAGGTGCGCAACAACGTGAGCAGGGGAGAGAGAGCTTATAAACAGATCGCAAGAGGGCAGTGCTTACTTGCTTGCTTGCAGCGCGGAGGACACGGACAAAAAGGAGCCGAGACACAAACGAGAGAGTCGCCATGCGGACGAGAGGGCTTGTGGATTCCAACAACCTGGCCCTCAGAGCCCACGAACCCGGGCAGCAGCAATCAGGGAGCGGGCAGGGATTGGGCAGCCCAGAAAAACCTCCGCGGGCAGGGCAGGGCGGAGCAGCCCACCCTCCCCTGTCTGCACATCACGGTCATCCATCGCCGTGACTCCGTCACCGCACCCATGCCCGTGTGCTCATACTTAGGGATACCCATCTCATGGAACTTCAACTACTCCCTCTTTGTTGGTATTCGTTGTTCGTGTGTTATGAGTATCTTTTTATTCTTTATGCAGATGTTGAGATTTGGAATGCGATGGTTTTGGTATATGTTTGCTAGTACTGAGGAAGCTTAAATCTCTTGTTATTTCATGTGTTGAACTAGATCAATCTTTACATTTTTGTTAATCCACATTATTACTCAACTCTTCACAAAACACATTTTCTACAACAAACTCGTATTTTTAAAAAGAAGATAAAATAAAATAAAATCTAAAACCACATTTAAAACACCTGAATTTGCAGCCACTGGTTTCTATCCTAATTAATTAGATTGTATCAACTCTAAAATGTTAAAGAGGAGCACTGTAGGACATACAACCCACTAAGAATAAGTAAATGAATCTACTCAAATGTTCAGTAAATAAAATTTGAAAACTTTCATTTACATACATCTATACATATATATATTAATCCTTTATCAATGTAAATTGTGTTCACAATTGCCAGTGCAAGACATATCTATATATACAACTAAGAAATGATGAAACAATGCACTCTTCCCAAATGTTTTTTTTAGATTATTCGAAGTAAACAAATACAATATCAACGTTTGAGAGTATTAAAAAAAAAACAACAACAACAACAGCAACAACAAGACAGTAACTAGCAACATTTTTTTCAAAGAAAGATCTTCATTTTATATTGCTTCCCATAGAATTTCCATAGCAAATATTTACCTTCCGCAAGTGTACAAAAACATTAATGCAGAGAAATGTGTTCACATGAAGTTTACAGAAGGGGAACTTGGGGAACAACCAAAAGCATGGAAACGTGAGGAATGGGGAACGCAAGGAATATGGGGGTGGTATAGAAAAGAACGGCAATGGGGGTGGTATAGAAAAGAACGGCAATGGGGGGGGGGATCAATTCTTCAAGGCAATAATAGAGGGACCCCATTCCATATTCTCTCCCACCTCTCATGATGTTACAATTATAGCTCACCATTATAGTACCCCATATTCTAATTCATTTCGCATAAAAAGCGTAGCAGTATTGAATATAAATTATTTTCAAATCTAACCAAATGCTCGCATAAAATCACGTCCCTATTACCACCATTTGAGATTGGTGGAGAAAGCCCACAAGTGGGGCCTACATCCCAAAAATTATCTCAAAAGGTGCTTCTCATATGACCCATACTAATTTATTTATTTTTTCACTTTATTGTTGATTGTGAAGGGGGTGGTGAATTGCATATTCTCATGAGTATGTGAAAGCTATCTATCACTCTTGTGTTATGATAAAATGAGGGTGTTTATGTATACATGTGTGTGGACCCAATTGTTTAATATGTGGTTGAATGAAAATATATCAATTTTTTTTTTGTGTATTTTCATGAGGAGATCAGGCATTATTTTATTTTAAATGAATGTATTCTTTGTGATGACCTCTGCTCAATAAGTATTTCCAGGCCCAATGTTTTTTATTTTGGTTTTGTCATTTTTTTGTGGTGGTAGTGGTTATTGTTATTACTTCAAAATATGATTTGTGTTTGTTGAATCTAGTAGAATTATTATCTTTCTCTTAAGCAGACCTCGTAATGCATGGTTAAAACTTATTTCCAAAATAAAATTGTGCACAAAGCACAAATATGGAATTTATATTTAAACTTTCAAGTGGTAATCTGTTTGGCAAATTTCCACATTATTGTTTTTATTTCTGATGTAAACAATGAGCACAATATGAATCTGTCAATTATGTAAAATCTTCTTTATGCTTGTTGTATTTTAAAACTAAAATCCTGAATCAAATATGGTAGTGAAGATTTCTTATCGATAGTTTATTGCAATAACTTATACTCAAATTTAAAGGTAATATAATTTGATTAAAAAGAAAATAAATGTATTACAAGTTAAATGGTTTTCTGTAAACATTATACTTTTGTATTATGAATTTCAAAATTGATAATTGAAAAGAATGAGAACATGGAAATATTGTCTACATGGATTAAATGATATCAGGCAAACAAAAAATATTAATTACTAACATGTTTGAATTGATCTATCTCAATTAGCACTTCTTTAGTCTTCTACATCAATCCTAAACTTCATGTTCTATACTGTATCTATTTACTAATTGAATAGTACCTTGATACCATTTACACATTCAAAGTTGTTGAATGGACATACAATCTTAAAAAGAACTGTGTTTAGATTAGGAAAGAAATCACAATAAATGATTTATACATATATTTACAAAAAAAAAAAAAAAAAAAAAAAACGAACAAAAACAAACAAACAAACAAACCGAGTTTCATGAATAGAGATGTATTTTTCCAAACAATACAGATGGTTTTTTTAACATCAAAACTTATGATATATATATATATATATATATGACATTTTAAATTATAGTATATAGTTTTATATCCATCACATATATTATCTTGAATGTAAACTTTTTTTAGATAAAATGGTAAGTTTGTGAATCAAATTGCATTTTATATCTGTGAATTAAGGCATGCTTGTCATTCACATGCGATCAATACAATAATTCTGAAACACATGTAAAAATAAGAATCAGTTTTTTTAGATAACTTGACAGAGTGTTCCCCTCAAAAGCATTTGACCTGCTTCCAGTGCAACTTGCCTCAAAAATTCATAGTTTTGTAATCACTTCATTAATGAATATCTTTCCAACTTACTTTGTATTTCTTTGTATGAAGAGCTTTCTTCAATGAATATGTTACAAAAATTAGCCCCATGAGAAATTGTTTTTACACTATAATAACAGTTAATATTTTTCTTTTTGATTTTTGATTGATTTGTTTTCAAATCAACTCTACACGTATAACATTTTCTGCATATAAATAATGGCAAGCTGTGCACTTCTCATGTGATTCATCTTCATGAGCACACAGATAACAACAATGACTTCTTGCATCACACAATGCATCCATTTCTACACATTTTTTTCTTCATAATAAAAATTTAACAACCAACTAAATTATTCATTCTATTACTTTGCTTTTAATTAACTGGCCATGATTACACTTCATTAAAAACATCATATTCAAGTTGAAGAATTCAGACCACAAATTACTTCGCTTAAGCGATTATTTTGAAACACAATTCGGGATATAAAACACACAACTTTATCATTTACAGCGCATGTAATTTTGGTGGGTAAAATCATGATACAGTATGCAAATGGTATTTCATGTAAACAACAAACCTACCACGAAGCAAAATGAAGGATATGAAGGTCAGGTATACTAAACATGGCCAAATGGTAAGAAATTCAGAGGTTTGAATCATTAGGGCTTGGAGTTCAACATGGTGAGTCCAAGCCCTAACCCAAATTTGAGGGAAGCTCCCCTGCTTGACATTGCAATAGCCTCGACAGCTCTTTCTGAGGCAGCTTCATTTGCGAGGTCCTCTTCATTCGATGCATGGCATGAGGTCTTCATGCGTCTGTTCTTTTTAAGTTTTGAGTCGTGGAAATCGTGTGCGGAAACAATGATGGCTCTTACATCGACGTTTCATCCTAGGTCACATAGATTTTTTTTTTTTTTTGTTTGGTTTTGTGGCCTGCATTCGAGACTAATTCGTGGTGACTTTTCCAGAGCACGAACAACTTGTGATTGCTTGCGCTTCTTACTCCGCGTCCTCCCCTGGGCGTAGTACTTAATTATTGAAGTGTTCACGTTGGGATGCGTTCGTTGAGATTTAGAGCTTTGCTTTCTGCTGATAGGATAAAACTGTTCTTCAGTAGTCTTTTTGTGACCTCACTGATTGCGCACTTCAGGAAACCTCGTATTAGAGGGTTGTTTGTTAGTGCGCTTATTAGTGTGTGTAGCGTTTCACTGACCATCCGTAGTTGCCTGCTTACTACCTTGACAATATCATCTGAGCTCCATTTCGATAGTCTTATTTGCTTGCTTCCCGCCTCAACCATGATTCCCTAAGTTTCTGTCTTTGACGAATCCAGTCATAGTGGCACAGAATGAAGTTAATTGAGAAAACGTGGGTTCAAAACTTTCTCGGTAGTCTTTATCCCAAAGTGCTCTCACGACATTCTTACAATACTTCTCCCTTACCATACAATGTGCCGAGTATCTTGTATACAACCTTTGTGTTCGAAGTGCCTGATTGCACTGCTCACTTGATCGTCGCCTGACGACGGGCCCCATGGCAGGACATTAGACCAGCATTTTGGGATTCTCTTGATAATGGTCTTAACCTACTTGCTTCATGTCTCCCACCTACCTCATGATTTTAATCTCTGTATGCAGCCGTGTGTGCGATAATTCATGTGGAATGATCAGCAAATACGGCATCAACACTTGTCCTCATCATCTAAGCACCTTCAATTCATTCAGTGAATGAGCATGCGGGTTCGATTTACAGGATCTTGCGCTGTTATTACTAATGCAATGTGCAACATCACCAATGTGGTAGAGGAACCCAAATCATTTGACCTCTTAAATCCAGTCCTATTTGTTCAGTCATGGGTTCTTTAGTCTTGAAAGAGTAGATCTGATTCTTCAAGAAATCCCCATTTTCGTATGTAACTCCCATCTCATGTTTATTGTTTGCCAGGCTTTTTGCAGCGTGAAGCCCGTATAAGTTTGTTTCAACGTGTGCAGATTATAAACGAAACATTCCAGAGCTAGAAGAGGAACGATAACAGGGTCCATTCATCAACACTTTTGAGCTGTTCAGGATCAGAATATTTAAACTGTAACCACCACTCTTCTTTTTTCAAATAGACGCGAAAGCTACTGTTTTATTTTTCTCTTTCTTATGAACACACTCACAGTCCATTTATTAATTGACCAAATGCTTTCGTTAAACTTCCTTCAACATATATCATAAACTATGTACCATATGAAAGCAATACACACAGAAAATTACAGTCACGTGCATAAATTTTTATGTCTCGGTTTGATTTTTTCTTCGCTGCTCATCAGTAGATTATCTACAAATTTAATGTATTTTTTTTTACACCTATTCAATCTGAATTGCAGTCAAGGAAAATACTGCATTCCCACTTGTAATTCTTGAAGCACCACCTATGATAATTGAGTTTTACAATTGATGATGCAAGAGTACTTGTATAATTGCTTTGTTAGAACATGTACAAAATCAAGTGTGCTGGCAGATTTTGAGGGTGATCTTCAACTTATAATTGGAAATGGTACAAGTACAGAATTTTTACAGTAATTGTTTCATTGATCCAATACTATCAGTAAGTCTATATGAACTCTTAAAGTATTGGAGTAATATTATATATTTATATATATATATATATATATATACACACACACACTTATATATTGATCCGTCAAACACACGAAAGGAGTGAACCTTGTTTTGTATTTTGTATTTTTATTGTTGCTACCTTTTTATGATTTTTTACATTACAGTAAAATTTAAGTAATAATAATATCCGGTAGAAAGTTGTACTTTAGTCAAAGTCACAATTTCTTTGGTTTTTTGATTTTTTAAAATCTATACAGATTTTGAGTTGACAAATGTATTACACAATATTGGAGAAATTTATTTTAAATTTATGGAAAAAGTCAAAAAGATCTTGAAAGAACTTCCAAACATTTCCCTTATACAAATATCATTCTCCTGATTTTAGTATTTACTAATATGTTTATTCTATTAGGAAAATTGTGCTGATAAACCTACAATTGGTACTGTAATTGAGAAATCACTTATTTATACACAACTGTATTGAAATTCAAAAGTTATTTTAACAAACTATTTATACTTGAATTTATTGTTTGAAGTCATTTTTTTTTTTTTTTTTTTTGGTAATTGTTTTGTTTCTATCATTAGCATCCTTTCTTAAGACTCTATTTCAACTTCAAAGAGATTGGATTTAATGATTTTGCTATGATTTTATTTTTAAATTATTTTCAAAAGATATCTTATAAAATATATGATGCATATTGAATTGAATTACTTTAAATTATATTAAATATAATTATATTATATCATGTTCAAATATTGTCAAGAATATGGATTACAACAAAATTTGTAAAATGACAATACATTCTTATATCACCAACAGAAAGAAGTTAGACAATTAAAAGAAAGATGTATAATTGAAATCAGAATAAGTATTGCCAAATGCAAAAAGATTAGGAAGACTTGTACCAAGATAAAATAGAAAAAAGATATTAATAAGAGTAAGAAAAGTCTCACTTTTGTATCAATATATAATATTTACTAAAGAACTATGTGGCAATATCATGCATACCATATTACATGTGTCTAACTTGTGAGACACATGTCTAATTTGTAAGGCAATTTTTTGATATTTGAGCTACATGGCCAATTAATAATATGAGTGGCTAAATGTACTATATGTGGTGAACTTGTTGGCCAAATCGTCAACCTACCAATTACTTATCAACATGTGTAAAGTCTACAAAATTTCTAAAAAACTTCTCATTACGATATCAACAATTTAAACTACTTCTATTTACTAATACTTAATTCTATTTATTTAAGTTGATGTACTAGTATATATGAAAATTTGTTAAGAATGAGAACTTAAAGAATGTCATTAAATAAGTGAGATGTATCTCAAAAAAAGATGATATAATAAAATAAAAATAATATATATATATTCAAGGAAAAATTGTAATGACTATTGTCAAAGATAAGAAAGTTATAAATTGTTGAAATGAGACTAGAATCAAGAAATGACTTGACAAGAGTGTAAAAGGCATGACTCTTAAGTCTATACATACTATCTAATTAAGAATTATGTGGCAATATTTTATAAGGCATTCATCATATGTTGAACATGTGAAACACATGTCTAACTTACAATGCAAATTTCATATATGTATGCCACATAACAAACTTTTAAACAAAGTTTTTATTCTACTAATAACCTAAAGACATATATAAAGTTAAATCCGCATCTACAAGATAATATATAATTAATCTACTATTACTTATGTCTCTTTCATTTATCTTATTTAGATAATTACTAGTGTTGATTATGTCTATGGCATTCATTCTCCTTCACCTTCTTTAGTTATTACAATTAATTTAGTCTATTCCTTGTTCCTATCTCAAATCTTCATCCCATGTCTCTATCCCTAGTTCAATTCTATGTCTCTAATCTCCAACCATTCCATTTATGTTTTTTATTCTCAATACTCCATTTTCAACTCTTATCTCCTTATTTCAATCTCTCCATTGTTATTTCTAACTCATGTCCTTAGTCTTGACTCTCTTATCTCTATTCTCAATGTTTAACTCTTGTTCTTATTTTTTCTCATTGTCAATAGTAACAATGGCTTTAAATATAATATATGTATATATATATATATATATATATATATATGTATTAACTTAAACATTATTGATATTACATTGCAATCTTTTAATTGTAATTAAAAGAAAATAGATATTGTTTTGGATCAAATATTATTAGATTACTTAATTGTGATTTATGTACTTGAGGAATTTAAGATATTTTAGTTGAAATTTTAAAATTTTTAATATTTAAAAATAGACATATTTTATGAAATCCATAGATAAAGGCTTCATGGTTGAAGATAGATTTTCTAAATAAGAAACATAAATTTCTTAAATTTTTTTATATCATTTTTTATAAAATAAGAACATAAACAAGAAATGGGAGACAAGGATTGAGAATGGGGGATTGGAAATAAGAAACTTAGATAGGAAGATTGAGAATTAAAGATATAGAATGGAGGCAAAGACAAAGGATAGACTAAACTAATTATAAAAATCCAAAAAGATGTGTTAACAACAAAAGAGTGTTGCTTTATCAATTCCTTAAATATAGTAGTAAATGTAAGTGTATGTGATATCTATAATATGATAAACACAATAACTTCAATAATAATTTTAGTTGCTAATATATTGCCTTTTATTTTAATTAACATTCTTTTATAAAACTAATGTTTAACATCCTATAATAATCGTGCATGTTATCTTTAATTAATAGTTATCTTAAAAAAAATTGTTCAAGTTTCTATTTTTTTTAATAACTTCTTAATTATTATTTTATTTACATTCCAATTAGATATAGAAGTAAAACATTATTAACTCATAAAAAATTAATTCAACTCATAGATTATTTAAAACAAATGTACACATGTAAACAACTCATAATCTTGTTTATTCATTTGTTTTTCTGAAATATAATGAATCTTTTTTATCCACATCCATAATCAATTGAATTAATATCAAGATTCAATGTAAGTACCAAATAACAAAAATGCAAAAAATTGTAGTAATAAATGCATCTGCTTAAATGTTGATCTTCTTGAATTTAAAATCAACAAGCATTGATGGAATGCAAGCACAGTGAATTAGAATAACACATGGCTTATTTTGATGTTTTTAGTAATTGTGCTGGATATACATATTTCTATTACAACATAAATATTGTTACAATTTAGTTCTTGGATAAACTAGCAATGATCCATGATTGTATTAAATTCTATAAAACGACTTACATTGTCCACTTAAAAATAAATTTTTTAACAAAATTATTTTGACCTTCAAATGAGAATCAACCTTCCAATGTTGACAAATATTATGAACACTACTTTAGAAAAATTGTATCTATTTTTACATCTACCAAGAATATAATTATTTAAACAAGCTTCTAATTTTTCATACTTGATATTATGATTTTAAATTATATATTTTTATACACTTTTTACAATAATTTGAAAAATAATTATAGAATAATATGGTATTTAATTTTTTAATTTCATTTATTTATTATATATTCAATAATGATATCTTGTGCAATTTCAGTTTTAAGACGATTTTGGATTGTTTGGTATAAACCCTTGTATTCTAGAAAACTTGTGAGTTTAGTATACAACTTATCATGTGAGAATTTTATGTTTGTGGTAATTTAAAAAAAGAAGAAAGTCGTAAGTCATAAATTCAAAAGCCTCTATGCCATTATTTATTTAGGTATGTGATGCATATGAGAGTATTGAGCAATGAATTTACACATTATGAAAGAGCCAAAACAACTTATAATTCTAATGTTATACAAACGAAGATAAATACAATTAAAAATAATGCTTAATATTAAAGCCAAATAAAGTAATGATCCAATTATTTTACAAAATTATACAATTTTTTTTGGAATTTGTAATTAAAAGAATTATATATATATATATATATATATATATATATACACAATTTTGTTATTAGGATTTGTAAATATGTAGCAATTTTTTTTTAGTTTTAATCAAACAAGAGAAATTCTATGGTTTTATCTATTATTTAAAAGTTTTACAAGATAAAAATATGCATGTATGTATGTATGTATGTATGTATGTATGTATATCTATATAGCTCAAAATTAAAGATTGGGTTAAAGTATATATTCAATATAATATATATCTATATATATATATATATATATATATATCTGAAAAGTTTAACACTGTTAATCTAATCTAATATTTGTTTACATATTGTATACTTATAGTTAATACCATCTTTAAATTTTGATATTGTCATTGGTTATTTAATTAGGTTAAAGTGAGTTTTTCATAATATATTAATCTATTATAAATATTATTAAAGTAATTTTTGAAAATGTTAATAAGAATTTATATTTAATAAAGACATGAAATCAATATAATTCAAAAATATCTTTTAAAAATTAGAAAATTTAAAAAGACACCTAATTATTAAATATACATATATATATATATATATATATAATTTATTTCTTTACTATTAGAAATGATTTGAATTTGAATTTCAAATATTTACTTATAAATATAAGTACATATATAAAGAATGATAATAAAGACATAATTTAATATAAAGTATTACCATTTAATACAATTCCTAGTAATATTTTTTTGTGTATGAAAAATTTAATAAAAGATAATTGATAAATGAGGATTAAAATAAATAGAAATATTCAATTTAGATTATGTAATATATATATATATATATATATATATAATGCTTTAGTAAGAGTATAAGTGAAAGATAGTTTTTTATATTTAATCTAGAAAGATTTTACAAAAATCAACTAATTGTTTTGGTGTAGAGCAAATTTATAGAGCTATTTGAAGTGATATAAAATGAACATCACTTTCACACAAAAGAAGAAATTCTATATGTAATTGCTTTATTTTATAAAGTTAAAGTAATTGACATGCACTGTTTATTGGATTTTTCTTTAAGAAAATGAAATGTTTGCAATCAGTATTTAATGTTAACTTAATTTTTTTTTTTCAAAAATAAATTAATATACTGCCAAGTACATATTCAATATTCTTCTAGATATTAAAATTATAAAATATCAATCAAGTTAATTTAAGATTTATATAGATACTAAAATCTTCTAAAGTAGCATCAATGATATTTAACACTTATTTGAACATACATAATAAATTTTTCAATCAAATACATATTAAAGATTATTAAAATTATAGAAAAATATTTCTTGTTCTTGACATGGTTAAAATTAACATAAAAATACTAAATTCATAATTTAAATTTAATATTATGAATTATTTTATCAGTTAAGTAATAACAGATATGAATAACATAATTACAAATTTTAATAATGTGTATTAAACTTTTTTGCATGAATAAACTTAACATTCACATGCTTATTAGATATTAACTAATATACAATCAATATATTAAAGAAGCATAATATACATTATTTTAAACATTAAATTTAAATCTTTCAAATTTAATCATTGTATTTATTTAATTTTTTTATAAATAAAATAATAAATGATTTGTTTTTTTAATTATTTATTTAATTAGAGAAAAATTAAGTAACTATTTATCTAGAGTGAGGTGGTTTTAAAAAAAGTTTTATACATCAATCTATTTGTTAATTTATAATACTTGTAATCAATCAAAATTAATACTTTAATAAAAATAAATATTTATTAATTAAATTAAAAAATAATTAAAAAATATAAGAATAAAAATCATATTTGTATTTATACATGCATATATGTATGTATGTATGTGTACAAACACAATATTTATTGTTAAAAAAATATTTGAAAATGTTATTTTAAATTATATTTGTACTTTATGATAATACTAAAATTTCTATACATTAATACAATAACACAAGCATGTTTCTTGATTTGTATAAGTTATATCAAATTATTTGCAATTTTTTTTTTTATAGACACTAGTCTTTCCATTTGTTGCAAATATAATAATTTTAAGTAGTGGATAACTTGACATCCACTACTTACAAAATATTTTCCAAGCATGTCATACTTACAATGTTAGCCTCAATGTGGATAAATGTATGTTTTTATTTTTTTCAGGAATTATATTGGGTTATATTGTTTGTAAACAAAGAAAGTTATTTGATCCTCTCAAAAACAAAAAAATCTTCAATATGCGGCCACTACAACATTAAAAAAAGTTATAACAATTTTTTGGCATGGCTCAATTTAATTGAAATGAAATATTTTGCACATATCATTGCATCCATTAGTGCTCTAAATTGTATTGACTATCACTAGCTCATTCATTGGACCACAGTGGTACAATAAGCTTTTGAAGCAATAAAAAAGGCATATACCAATGTATCAATACTATTAGCTTCCAATTGGTCTTTAAGGTTTCAAGTTCATAGAAATGCATCTTATATTGCAATAGAAGTTGTGTTTGTCTAAAATTCCATTAGCAAGGTCAATCAATCAATAGCATGTACAAATTGATTTTGGAATCATATAAAATATAATTATTTGATTACTGAGCAAAAAAAACTTATTATAATATATGTGGTTAAATAAATTTTATCATTATTTATTAGGCAATAAATTCCAATTCATTATGGATTACAACAATTTATTATTATTAGTGAATTAGTTGGTAATCATTAGCTATGTTGCATAGTGGATTATGATTCTTTTGGAATATGACTTTAAAATGATCCATACTCTACACAAACACCATATAGTTGCTGACTATTTATTCTAGCATATAACCACCACTGAACTGACAAGGACTAATAACATCTTCAATGATCTATATATTCAAAGAGCCATTGCCCAACCTATAACAACTAATAATGATTGATGTTCTTTGTATATGATGTACCTTACAATGAAATAGACATCCAAAAAATTCATTAATATGGACCATATTAACTTCATTTGCCAAGCCTTACTATATACTTATATAAATCAATGTCTTCTCAAACATGGTATAAATGACGTGGTATAACTTTGTATTCCTCAAGAACAACAACAAGATTTTATTGACAAACTACACAAGGATATGATAGGAGGGCACCAAAGACCATAAACAATCATCCAGAAAAATCTTTTTAGCAAGATATTGGTGGCCAATTCTACACAATGACATACACCAATACATCAAGCATTGTCATGCATGTCAAATGTCTACTACAAATTTTGCATATCAAAGAAAGGTTCCATTGCATTTATTTCTATTGCTTGAACCGTTTATGCATTGGAGTTTGATTTCATTGGCCATATCAAATCAGCAACCACAAAAAGGAGTTGCTGATATTAAATAAAGAATTTCAAGACAACTACTGTGACAAGGAAAGTGGGATTACAGATCAAGTAGTTGCAAACAATATGGTTCTAGCATACTTTTAAACCAATCTGGACTACGCTTATTTGTATGAAGTTCCAAAGGCAGAGATGGAATGTCTAGTATGCAACCAAGTGATGGAAAAAATAATTTTTGATATGTATAAACATGCAACAAAAACCAAAGACAAAAAATTTCACTTACACTGTATTGTAGCCAAAACCATCACTAAATTGTATAAAAGACAATTGTTCCTTCAATATTCAATAAAATATTCACCAAGTTTCAAAAACCTTGTTCTTTGATTGATAGACATATTTGAAAGTAAGAAGGAAGAATATTGCAACACATCTAGGGACATAATGTAAGCTTGCAATGAAGATAAAAATATCAGTGCAAAAGATGAGATCAACAATCTTTAGCAAAAGTTGCAATATAGAAGAATGAAGATACAATAAGAAGATATGGTAAAGACGTAACTAATTGTAGCACTATTGTGAATTTATGATAGAAGTAGTGATTATGAAACTTTTTATGTATTATTGAAACCAATGAAGGAATACATATTGACTTTTTTTCTTTTGAATTCAAATATTTAGCAATTAATATTGTAAATACAATGAGCTTGTTTGTTGCTTTTTAGAAGTATTTTGATTAAGTAAAACAATGTAATGTTTTGTACTCACATGAATAAAAGAGTAAGCATTGGTTCATTGAATCTATGGTAATTGTAAACTTGGTTATGTTGCAAAGAAGTATTGTATCAAAGAAAGTCATTAGGTCTTGGATGCATCCTAATATCATTGTTACTATTCTATGGCACACCATTGATAGAATAATCCAGAAACTAATAATTACATTAATAATAAAAAATAAAAATAATAATATTAAAAACATTGTATTATAATTTAAATTATGTATCTTGAAGATTTTATAGATGTATAATTTTAAAAAATAAAATAAATAAAATAAAGAAGAAGATATATTTTTAACTTTTTAAACAAATTGAATAACATTAGCTTAGATAACATGTGTTGCTAATGCTACCATAGTTTTTGCTATTACTACTACATCTTATTTTCATTAGATTTTTAGTTTTTTTACTAAAATTATATTTATTTCATACAATTTTTTAAACAAAATATATTAGAAACATTAATAGATTATTTTTACCAAAATATAAAAACTAAATAAAGATTCATACAAGTGGTAGTGGCAATAATGAATACAATTATGACATTAGCAATATCCTAGATAATATGTTGTTCAATACATTTGAAAGTTTAATATTGAAGTAGTTAAAAAGATGTTTGATTTTTTTTCTTCTATTGATTCACTTTAATTCTTGATAATCTTTATTCTTAACACCAATTAAATTAATGCCATATGTGATCATTTTAAAATTAAAACATATTTAATTTTTAATTTCAAAATGCTAACATAAATATATAAGAAAATCCAAAAAGAAAAAAACAATTATATATTCTAACTAACTAATCAATATACAAACTCACATGCAATGATCACCAATATTATGAAAAAATTCTCTTTATATTTGTGGGAATATATGTATGATTATGATGTACTAGTTTTTAAATAATAATGTTAAATAGACCAAAGTTTTATTAAATCAACCTACCCACCCTAACCATCATAAAAAAAAAAAAAAAAAAAAAAAAAACTTTACATTCATTTCCCCACTATTGGATTTGTAACCAATAAAAAAACAACCACATTCATCATGATTACCATATTCTTCATCAAGAGTGGGTCTATACAAAAAAATCATGCTTATTCTCGACACAACGGATGAAAGAACGGATGAAAGAACGAACGAACCGACGGACAGGGAAGAAGGTTCTGGAGAGGGGGAGGGGGATGGAAGCTGCTTCAGTGCCTGAGGCGGCTGCTGAATTTTGGCGTCGTAACTTCCCGAGCTTCTGGAATCTTCCAGGCCCCACTTCCCATCGTCTTATTAGGGTTTGCACTCCGCTCCCCATTCGAGAGAATCCGATCGTGTCGCTCACGCTCCGATTTGCTTCGCCCTCATCTTCGTACGCAATTCCGCTTCACTTACTTAGCAGACGTGCCCTTTAGAAACTCTCTCGCAGTTCGTTTCGCCTTATTCATAGACTGTGAAAGTTTTTTTTCCTTGCCTCTGGGAGGTTGAGTTGGGATTGAGCGTCAGAACATTCAGTTTCTGTGAGTAGGGACCCTCTCGGTAGTGATTCTAAGCAGTCTTGAACGAGTATCGGTTCATTTTCTTACGGAATTAGGTGAGTTGCGGGGTTTTGTGTTCGGTGGTGGGATTTGTCGAAACCAGCTGTAAAGCGAAGCTTTGTTCCTAATTTGTCTTATTTTTTTGTATTTGTATTTTTTTATTGATAGATCATTGCTAGAGAGTTTCACGCAGTTTTGGTTTGTGGTCTTTCTTGAAAACGATTGGTTTGACTTTTGTTTTGAGTCGGTGCGTGTTTTTGTTTATCAATGTAGTTTGTGGTAATCATAGGGTCTTGGTTCATAAGTTGCTTTAGAAAGTTGATTCTGATATCGGATGACTTGCCTTCTGTGGTCTATGTTATTACGACTGCGGTACATTGGTCTATTGCCTTCACCAATTGTGACTTGGTTCAAGTCCCGTCAGCTTTCTGAAAAATTTCTAGTAGCGCACCCTAGTATTTGCTCCTAGTGAAGAAAGAACCGAATAACTTCTCTCACACATGTAGTTGCCTGTGGTTCACTGTACGCGTTTCACGGTTTTCATTCTAACCTCTTTCGACGCAGATATCCACTATCACAGATTTTCCGACTCTGAGAAAAGTCTTCAAATTATGGCACAGGTACGGTATAACCGTCAACTCAAGAAAATGTGGAGTCAACTGCTTTGATGCATATAGTTACGAACTGTACACGTTTTCATACTTCCCGGTGAATATGAGATCTTCTTGTCGTTAGTTGTTTTACATAATTCCTTACTTGTTCTCCCGATTGTGCAACAGGAAGGATGGAAGGTGGAGCTTTATGTATATGACCTTAGCCAAGGGTTAGCTCGACAACTTTCCTCCCAATTTTTGGGTAAAGTAATTGAGGGCATCTGGCACACAGGTGTTGGAGTATACGGCAAGGAATATTTCTTCGGTGGAGGCATACAGAGTGTACCACTAAAACAAAGTCCATATGGACAGCCTGTACAAGTAGCGCAACTTGGTACCACTGAGGTCCCTCAGGAGGTTTTTGAAGAGTATCTGCGAGATATTCAGCCACGATACACACAACAGACTTACAGTCTGATGAAACATAACTGCAACAATTTCTCGGATGAGGTTTGCCAGTTCTTGGTGGGATCTGGCATTCCTGAATATATTTTGCGTTTACCGGAAGAAGTTTTGAGCAGCCCCATGGGTGGTCTGCTAAGTAAGTTCGAATTCAATTACTTTTTCCTCATGGCTCCTTCAGATTCCTTCGGGTTGGTTCTATGTGAATAGCCCCTGGATCGAGATATTGTTTGTTTGAGCTACCCGCAGTTGAATCTTACTTGTTTGTGCGCATGGCAGGGCCAATGATAGAAAATCTGGAAACCACATTGCGAAACGGTGGTGTACCTGGAGCACCTTATCAAGTAGGGTCTGGGCAAGCAGTGCCTAATTTCGCCAATGTGCAATTGCCTACCTCTCTGCCATCTCCTGCTGCACCCGCTGGGTCCACAGTGCCATCACTGCCTGCGAGGCGAGTGTCCTCTGTATCATCTTCACCTCGATCGATCAGTTTAGCAGATGTGCCTCCTCATATTTCGCCGGCCCGAGTCTCAACATCCCCAAAACACACAGGTATAAATATCTGAGTCGATTTTACCGCAGTGCATGCTTTTACTTGAAATGGCTGAATCTCCAGCTCCTTTCTGCGCAGTCAATGTACGGCTTGCCCCCAGCTTTACTATTCTCCGTTTCACCATCATCAAATTACTAACTTTATCCTAAATATCTTTACAGATGAGACATCGACTTCTGAGGGAACTGAAAAGAAAGGCAATGAGGACCTACCAACTTCACTACCTACGCCTGCTCCACCAGCAGGTCACGATCTAACCAATGCAAGAGCCAAGGTTACGCAAGAAATTACTCAGGAGTTCGCACTTATCATGGCCTCGGGGACTTTTCGAGCTAGTGAAGCTGCTGCTTTAGCTGCTCGACGAGTTCTGGAGAGACATAGAATGGAAGGTGTCTCTTCAGGTCATCCTCAGAATGCTGCCTGAATGCTTCAAACCGTTGCTAAGAATATTCCATCATTTTTCTCATTCATACTCTATTTATTGAGGGTAGCGAATCGGGTCTTCTATGTACTTCTGGTGTACTAGTTCCAAAGATTCTGTACGCAGTAATCTCTCAAGTGGCTCATATTATTGAGCACGCGTTACTGTGTCTCCTAAGCAGGACTACCTTCTGCATCTTGCCCAAATCGGGTTGGACAATTCTACTGCTCTTCAATTGGAGAGGGGCTCTCGAATGAACATTTTTGAACGACAAATTCTTAAGTCAGGTTGAACGACAAATTCTGAAGTCAGGTTGAACGACAAATTCTGAAGTCAGGTTGAACGACAAATTCTGAAGTCAGGTTGAACGACAAATTCTGAAGTCAGGTTGAACGACAAATTCTGAAGTCAAGATTGTTTTAATTGCTGTCAGTACTATCAAGCTATTTTGTAGACCACTTCTCTGATGCTTGGTTTCCTAGTGTCTATCCCATCAAGTCGTCGTCCACTGGTCCTAATTGGGCAGAATTGTATTCTTCCTTGAGAAGAAATCAGCCTGCGATGTTTGCAACAGATGGTTGCTTCGAGAAACGCTGCTAAGCAATCTTTATTGGTATACAAATCTGCAGGAAGTTATAATCAACCTGGCCCGATTTCTAACTGACTTTGCATCTTGAGTAAATCTATCATGCATTTTAGTTGATCAGTACGAACAAATTAGGCACGAATAATACAAACTTTTAATATTGGGCTTGAGAATGGACTTTAAAGTTATAACCCTCATCTAATATATTAATCATCTCAAACAGCTGTCTAGTGCGGCGCATGACGTGCACCATCCTTAGAAACCATTGCGGTAACTTTTCAACTATGCTTCCCAACATGCTCTGGAGCATAACCTTAGTGACCTTTTCTGTTTTATGTAGTAATTTAGTGTGTTGTCTGAGAGGATGACTATATAACCGATTATGTAATTTTACTACGGCAAACAGTGATATATCTTAACCCATCGGAAACCAAGAGTCTACCAAGCTAGACACATTAATTGTAGCCTCTTGGAAAAGTTGTCATGCACTTCATTGATGGCTCAAAGCTACAAAGAATCACAGTGGGTCATGGAACCAAAATTTGCCTCTGCAAGTACCAATAGGAATGGTAGGGTGGCAACACAAAAACTCTAAATTAACTCTCATATTTATAAAACATCATTTAGGAGTCCCTTAGTACTAGCATATGAATAAGTGGTAAAAATTGGAAATGAGGTTAGAAATCACATAAGATTTACATAGGATCATGACTCCCTCTGAGGTATAGTAAATACTACAACTTATACAAGATACAAATTAAGAGTGTGCATGGTTTGCATATATTAAATGTTAAGAGTGAAGAAGGCATGAAGGTATGGTTGTCACTTGTACTATCATAATTCTTAAATTTGATGGTCGGAAGGCTTAATTGTACATTGTCTAAGAGGCAGTAGTAACATAAATAGATTTAAGATGGTAAAGTCAACAAATTGAAAAAATATTTTACTTAAAATAAAATAATTATGGACCAATATCCAATAGTTGCCATAGTATTAAAAATAAGAAGCAAGAAGAATAATCTTACAAGAATTTCTCCAACAAAATTAAGAATAAGAGGACAATCTAGATGAAGTTGAAGAAGTGGATCTTTTTAGTATTTTATAAGAATAAAATGAAATAGAAAGATAGGTTAAAATACAAAATCTAAAAAACAAGAAGAGTTTTGTGAAGCTAAAGTACAACCATTGCAATGAATCATAAAGAAGTGGAAATCACAAGATTACTAGGATACTTTTTGAAACAAGGTGATAAGTAAGACAACTTTTCAAAATGTAGGTTGATAAAGAACAAACCATAATCAAAATGTGCACTTGGAAAAGTTGTCCTTCAAAATATAAGTTGATAAAGAACAAAGTATAATCTAATTGTTGTAGTGGTTGTAAAACTTAGGGAATAAAATACCAATAAGAAAAATACTAAGGTGATAAAGCTAAAAAATGACTAATATAAGAAATGAAAAAGCACCAAACAAAAGGAGAATAAAATATTGCTTCTTTGATGATTTAAAGTATTTTTATAATGCTGAATATATATAGAAAGATAAAGAAAATATTTGGAATCTTATAGCTTTTTCTAAATGTTAAATATTGATTAAATGATGCATAAAGTAAATATATAAAAAAAATCTTTTAAAGAATTTATTGGGATTAGAATATATAAAATGATAAGTCTATGTTTTTAATTTGAATAAAGCTCTATAGAGGATTAACAATTGCTAAACATATAGTCATTGTTAGTAAAAAAAAAAAAAAAATGCTCTCTTAATTTTCATAACGAATTTTTAAAATTTTATATCATATACACATTCCAAAAGATAAGAATTTATTTCCAAAATTATAGCTACATAATAATTTAATAAACCAAGGAAACTATTTAGAAAAAAAAAAAAAACTATAATCTTAAAATGCATTTATCTTGGCTTTACAATTCCAAATGCAATAAGTAAGGGCATAAGGCCTTAGCTTGCTAAAACTAAATTTTAATTGAAAATTAAAGATCAATGTGCAAAAAAATATATGTATTTATTATGTATGTATCAATGTATGTATTTAAATATTTGTATGAGAGATAATTTTGAAGTTTAATAAGTAAAGAAAAATAAATAATATATATATATATTTGAATTTTTTTTAATAAAATTAAAAATAAAAACCTTACAATTATATATCATTTCTCATTTCAATGTAGATATAAAATTACTAAATAATAAGATTAATGTTTTTTTAGTTGATATAATTTTTTATCAAGTAAAAAAAATATGGTTCGAATTTTCTTTAAATTTGTGATTTGAACTTAATTTATAATGAAAAGGTTAATTTTATTCCTTTCTTTCTTTTTTTATTTTTCTTTATAAATATTATATAAGAAAAATAATAAATATTTTGTTTAGTATAGTATATTTGTGTGTTTCTTGTCTAATTATCTATAAGGATGTTTTTTTGATTCTACCAACTTCATATAGTTCAAACAAGAAAAAATATTGCTTATATGGTTATATTAAAAATAGGTTTAAAAATATAATATATTAAATAAATATTTTTTATAAGTATATATATATATATATATATTAGAAAAAATAATTAATAAAAAATATAGCTAAATTAATATATCCATCTTTAATTATTTTTCTAATACTCTTATGTAAAAAAATTTTATTTAGATTATTGCTATTACCTAAATATTTGAGAAAAATTAGAATAAAAATAACATTATGTAATTTTAATAATTAATTTTAAAATAATTACTTCAATAAAAATAATAAAATAAATATTTTTATTTTTATTTGATTTTTCCATTTTATATTGGCATATAGTTAGAGACTTTACATCAAAATATCAAATTTTTATAATATTTTAGTGTAATTTTGAATCTTAAATTTTTTACATAATAATATAAATTAGGATTAAGCTATCACAGATATACATATTTAGTCTAGTAATTATGTAAATAATATGAATAGATAGAAGTAGATAAAAGTAGATTAATTTAATAATATCTTATAAAGAAGCTTTTTAGAAGCTTTATAGAGGTAGTTTTGTCTTTATACATGCTTATAGGTGATTAGTAGATTGAACACTTGGCCATCAAGTTAACCAAGTATTGTACATATTGATAGCTTGTAGTATAAGTTAACCATGTGGCACACATATAGGAAACTTGCCTTATAAGTTAAGACATGTATGTCACAATTGGGCCCCTGTTGGGGGGTTTTTAAAAAAATGGCAAATAAATTTTTGGTTAAGGCAATTTTAAGGGTTGGGGGGAACCCTTTTCCATCCTGGTTTTTTTTTTTTTTTTTTTTTTTTTTTTTTTTTTTTTTTGTTTTTGTTTTTGTTTTTAATCTAGTTTCAAAGGTCTCTAATTTTCTTGTCTTTTGGAAATAGCCATTCTAGTTTCTTTTGAATATATATACTTTCTTATTTTTATTTTATCATCTTTCTTTGAAAAAAATCTCACTTGTTTATTTGCCTTCATTGACTTCTTTTTCTTAAAAAATTGTCAAGTATACAATTATAATATTTGAGTTTATTTTTATTTATTTATTTATTTTATATATTAAAAATAGATTATTTCTTTTTCTTATTAAGATATAAACATATTAGAAGTTGCAGATTACATACTTCTATATTGATATTATTCTTAGATTTTTTTTTTGTTTTTTTGTCCTCTCTTCTATTTTCAAGGACAAGAAATCAAAGACGATACATAAATAAGTAAGAAATAAATCAAAGAGACATGAGAAAATAAAAATAAGAAAGCAAATATATTTAATATGAAAGAGAAATGGATGTTGCCTAAGACTTGAATAATAGAGACTCTTAAAACTAAAGTAGAAGTAAGAAAAGAATTGATAAGAGTGAAGAAGGCTTTACTCTTACTTCTATATATACTATCTACCTAAGAATTATGTGCTAATGTTTTATAAGACCTCCAACATGCATCTAATTTGTGAGATACCTATCTTAATTTGTAAGATAAGTTTCTTTTATATGCACCACATTGTTAGCTTATACCATAAGCTATCAATGTGTGTGATATATGGCTAACTTGTTGGCCAAGTTTTCAACCTATTAATCACCTATAGACATGTATAAAGATGAAATCACATCTATAAAGCTTCTAAGAAGTTTTTTCACAAAGTAGTACTAAAGTATCTTATTTTTACTTTTTTCTATCTATTCGTATTATCTTGGTAATTATAAGATACTTTAGTACTACTTTGTTGATCTAAATATTAGATTATGTATAGATATTTAAATCTTAATTTCTCCCACTAAATTTTTTTTCAATCTAATTAGCACTTATTACATCTTGGAATCACTCATTGACCTTAAATCTTAAATTTTCAAGACTATAACCCATAAAAATCTTCATATGATTCAATCTAACAACTTGTTTGACTTCAAATTTCTTACTTATATTTACAACAAGCACAATAATAAATTTCCAAAATTTCACTTATAAACACAATACGAAACTAACAAAATCTTGAAATTTATAAATTTATTTTATTTCTCAAAATCTAAATCTACCAAATATATTATTAATTTTAAAAATTCTTCAAAATCTCAATATTAGCGTAAATAACATTAAATTAATACTTAAAAATCTCTCTTCAAGTCTACTCCTAAATTTACAAAAAAAATCCCAAAGTCGCCATAGGTGTTCAATTTTGTACCTAGAGATCTGATTTCGACCTTGGTTGATAATTTGTCTTCTTTGAGTATGAATTCATGTCTTCTTGAAATATTTTTTGCTAAAATCAAATCCCAATTCCTTCTTATATATATCTATATTCTTTATTTTTTAATCTACCTTGTCTAGCTTTATTTATGGCTCTATAAAGTAATTAGAATTTCTTTTCATAAAAGGCAATTCTAATAATAATAGATTTTGCTACTTGCGTATTGTTTATCTATAATTTTTTATTATATATTTTTAATTAGGCTCTTCTATAATAAAATACTTTCTTTTTTCTTTCATCTAATAGTTGTGTTACTACACAACATCTTCCTCCCTTGAACTTGTGCATCTTCTCACAAGTATTAAAGATTCTTCAACATATTGATGTAGGATG